CATCTGTCCTGCCTCTAGGAATAGAACTCTTAACAAGAGCAATGACATTAGGCCAGCAACACCACATTTCATGCCAAGTGAATCACAGAATTCTCAAGCGTAACCATAACAGTCCTTTAGTATGGGTGTACAGATGACTCACTTTCTGTGTCACTGACTCCTTCAGAAACAGCTGCTCCAGGCCTCCTGGGGCCTTCCGTGACAGGAAGCCTGCTCTCTCAAGGTGGCTCTTTGTGTCTTCAGACTACTCTCAGTCATTCAGGTCTTCCTCACCCCTCATCAACGTGTCTCCCCATCACTTCCACTGTGACTCTGGCGTGGCCCTCTCCACTCCAGCACCTCTGGTCAATGGGTAAGTATTCAGATTTCTCCTCTCAAAACCATCTGTCACAGCCTTCTCCGTCCCAGCGCTCCCTCCTCTTCCAAGGTTCCTTTGTTTGAGTCTAAGCGTGTCTGGCCAGCAACCTCCTCCGAGCATATCACCAGCAGTCTCTCTACTCTTTCCTGGAGTCCAGCCCCTAGAAGAGAACACTCCCACCCAGCATGGGCAGCCTGGTCTGCCTGCTGGCCAGTAACTTTTGGGTCCCTTCTGAGGGCATCACAAAAAACCACTGGTACTTCCCTCAGGAGAAGCCAGGAGAAAGTACTGAGAGCATATGTACTGATACACAGTGTCCTCAAGGACCTCATAAGCCAGGAAGGAGAGCGATGTCCACAGACAACAGCCCAAGAAAGTGCAAAAACAGAGTCCAGCAACATGCTGAGGTCCATGTCAGGAACAGTAGACTGAGGGGATCAGAAAGTCAAGACCTCTGAAGCCAAGATGGCCTAGATTTAAATCCCAGGCATGAGCCCTGGGTGGTGTGGCTCAGTGGACTGAGTGCCAGCCTGAGAACCAAAAGGTCACTAGTTTGATTCCCAGTCAGGGCACATGCCAGGGTTGCGGGCTAGGTCCCCAGTTGGGGGCGTGTGAGAGGCAACGAATCACTGTATCTCTAGCACACTGATGTTTCTCTCCCTCTCTTTCTCCCTCCCGTCCCCTCTCTCTTAAAAGTAAATAAATAAAATATTAAAAGGGAAAAAAAAATCCCAGGCCTGTAAGAATATCCCTTCTGTAAGAGCATGGACCAGTCACTGAACCTCACTAGCCTCTATTTCCTCATCTGTAAAATGAGGGGATTACACCCACCTGACTGTTGAGATTAGAGATGTTGAGGGTACTCAGCAGGGCACTACATGATGGCAACTGTCAGCATTATTACAAAAAGAAGCAATGGACGTCTTCTAAGGACTGGGAGCAGAGGGGAAAACCTGAGCAAAAGCTTAGTGTGGGCAGTAGAGAAGTGGAGCAGACGTCTTGGGTCTGTGGTATACAGGGAATGGGGTGAGGCTTGGAGCTAGAGTACCTAGACTATCCGGATCATGGTGGGTAGGATACTAAAGAAAGACCCCACTTGGTGTACTTCCCTCTGCCAGTGGACCCCACCGGGTGATGTCAAGGCAGGACCCTATGTACTCTCTGGCCCAGAGGGCAGCCTGAGCCCTCTCTCAATCTGCCCTCACAAGCTGATGAGCCTACAGAGCCACAGGAGGGTTCTACCCCCAATTCCTTCTCTTCCTAAATGATGGCTCATGCGCACCACATAGAGCACTCTTTTGGGATTCTGGATCTACCCCAAACATCCCCAGGAGGCCAAGCTGGAATTATTCCAATAGCCCTCAGTAAATCTTCCTGCTAATCTCCCATAACACTTTCTGGTGCATTCTCCCTTCACCATCAAGAAACCAAAAGGCTCCCTCCCACCCAGATTTTCTGATCCCCAAGAAGCCTCCAGCCCTACAAAGCTCCTGACACCAAACACCAGACCTGCCCCACCCTCGTCAACCTCTGCTCCCTACTCCCAAACAACCTCCTGTTTATTCTGAAGCGCAGTCAATAACGCCCCCTTCTCTCAGCCTCCTTCTGCTCAAAGTCTACATTCTGTAGGAAGTTCTCCATTCAAGTCCGCAGAAACCACTGAGCCAGACAGGGGGTTGCATGGACAGAGCCCTCACAGAACAAGCCCATGGGACGGGGTCTGGTGTACATGAGACACTACTATGAGGGGACAAGCAAGAAGAAAAATGTCCCTAAAAAGGAACCAAATACCAGAGGACCTACTATCAGGTGAGGAATGCATACCTCGAAACCCTGCTGAGCTCAAAGTGGGCAGTCCTTTATTTATACAGGGAGTTAGAGTGAAATATTCCCCTCAACACAGCATGTTCTCAGGTTTTTCTGGCAGGGCCTTATTCATTTAGATGGTCTTTTTAAGGGCAAATGACTATCACAGAGTATAAGACAGACGGCTGGATTGAGGGCAGGGTCCAGCCCGGAGGGGGACCGGGCCCGCCACCTGACTTGAGCCAGACAGCCCATGCTCCAGGTTGCCCAGGCCCAGTGGCTCCATGCCAAGGCCTGTGCTGGCATATGCCTGACAACAAGGGTTGATTTTGTGGACATTTCCTATCTCTAGCCCTTTATGCCCAAGCAATCTCAAGTTCCATGGGAATGGGGACCTTCCCGAGGTGCACTTACGGGTAGGCAATGACCAGCAGAACAGAAAGACAGATGACTGGTCTCCAGTTCAGAGAGCCTGATCTTATGATAAGGCCTCCTTACCCAGAAAACATCCAAGACAAATCCCTCCCTGTCACAGGGCCCTGTCACAGGGTGCTAGAATTTGTTTTGAGGATCAGCCAAGCTCCTGGTAACACATGGGGGCTGTAAGGACTGGCCAGGAATTCAACTCTGGAACTGGAAACTGATTAAAGATAGTAGGGACAAAGGCTAGGCAGTGCCCCCTTAAACTCTGAAAGCCCTAGATTCATGCCCTGTGATTCCAGCAAAGCAGGAAGGAAAACCTCAGGACCCAATTTTGTGGCTATAGTAGGAGCAGGAAGCCTGAGTCCATTCCACACCCCATTCATTTGTCATTCTCCACCCTGAGATAATCAATAGCCAGTCAGCAAGACTCTACAAGCTCCAATTAGATAAACTGCCTGTTCAACAACTGCCAGAATGAGGAACTCGTAGGAAAACCTACAGACTTCTCTAAAGAGTCTTTCCTTTGTCAGCATCTCTTGGGACATCTACCTCCCTCCCACAGCTAAGCTTGCTCCTTCCTCTGCCAGCAAGACCCTCAACAGCCTAGCACCACAGAGCTCCAGGGGCTCCAGGTAGATTCTGGGTCTTCGGACCTATAATGAAACCCAGCCCAGACCCAGACAGTGCCCACTGTGACTACTCCATTGCAGCCTGGGCTTCCGCCTGCCCCTGTCCCCTTCAGTGCTTGTTTTGTTGAATGCATTTGGTGCAAAGAAGAAAATATGAGAAACTTTAGGGAAGAGCTGGAGAATGTCCCAGTGTCTCCTCTGCCCATGGCCAGCACAGAGGTGGCCTGAAGAGCAAGGCTTCCCTTCCTCACACCGCCCTGAGAAACATGACCTGGGAATTTCCCAGAGAACGCCAGTCCCTACCCCCACAGGAGGGAAGTCCTTGACTGACCCCGAGACCACATCTGGAAGCTGACAGGGAGGATGATGGAGCATGGATCTCGAGTGCTGAAGGCAGTGTTGTGAGGCTTTGGGTGATTTTGGCAGGAAATGCTGCTCTGGGTCAATTGTTTGGGGCCAGAGAGAGCCCAGTTTGAAATCCCTGGAAGGAAAGCTGGGCTGCAAAAAGGATCTGGTCCCAGAATTCCCTTCCCTCCATGCTGGTTATTTAAGAGGCATGGACAGCTTCTCAGCAAGCCCAAGCCCGAGGGGAACACTATAGGGAGCACTCGGGGGTGGGCCCTCGTTGCTCGGCCCTCACTGCCTTGGCAGAATCCTGTCATCCTACAAAGCTCACCTTACCTCCTACATAAAGCCATAAAACTCATTCTTTTCTTTACAGCCTCCCTGAGCACACCATTATGCTCCAGCCTGCAGCGCTGATTCCTGTGGTCAGTTTCATTTCCTACCCAGTAAGCATCCTGCCTCAGAGCTGACCAGCTCTTACTTTTTCTGCACCTTCCTTCAACTCCCAGCAGTGCTAAAACCTAAAGGATTTTTTTTTCAGGTATCAGGGGATCCAAAGACACAAACTGATGGTCAGCTGTCTGAATCTGGCCTGCAGATAAGCATTTGTTGGCTTACAAGGTGCTGCTTAAATATGTAAATTAGATTCCAACATTTTAAGATTAGATTTTTCTGATTCTCTTTCAAAAATTGGAATGTCTGAAGTATGCGGTCCTCAGTTCCTCAGTGCTGTGTGGCAAAGCTGGACAGAGACGAGCAGCAGCTGCTCCTTTAGACAGGGCATGGGCACTCCAGCTGGTCCCAGTCCCTGTGGAGCAGATACTATGGAGACCCTGCCCCACATCCTACCAACCCACCCGAGCTCACCTATAGCTGCAGTGCTCCTGCGTGTGTGCTAACAGCTCCCCACTGCCAGTGCCTGCAGCTCTTTGCTTCTTTGCCTGAGGACTTTCTCTGGCACTAGCTGGCATTCAGGACAGCCCAGAAGTGCTAGGGATTTAAAGCCCCCAAAGAAATTCTTGACTTATACAGGAGTCAATGGATTAAAAACCACCCACTTCCCTGCCCCTCAAGGGTACAATTCTGACACCTTCCACATGATTATTCACAGATTCCCCAGTGGGACTGAGTGCCAGGGCCCACAGTGGCAGTCCCCTCATTAATGTACCCTTCGTTGGCTTTTCCCCTTTCTGCCTCATTTTCCCCACCCTTCACCTGTGCTTACTGGAAGCACATTCCAATAACATTATCCGCTCCCAAGTCCCTGTCTCAGGGCTCACTCAAACTAAGACATCCTACCGGTCTCACTTCATCATTTTTACTTCGCCTGCCTGGCCCCATCAGCACGACCGCCAGAGCACAGCACTCTGACGGAGAGCTGCAGGACAGAGCCCCCCACCCACGGAACGCCCAGCATCCTCAGGACAGGGCACACTCACCTCCCCCGAGTAGCTGTACTTGCCCCTGAGGATCTGCCGGTACAGTCGGGTGCGGTTGTCATCTTCAAAGGGCATGGTGCCACTGAGCAGGATGTAAGCAATGACACCCAGTGCCCACATGTCCACTGAGTTGGTATAGGGCTTTCGAACCAAGACTTCAGGGGCAATGTACTCAGGTGTGCCACAGGTGGTTTTCATCAGGCAGTCGTCACCCTTCTTGCGAGCACTGGCCAGGCCGAAGTCGGTGATGATGATCTTGGAGTCAGTGCCTGGGTGGTAGTAGAGCAGATTCTCAGGCTTGAGGTCTCGGTGTGTGATGCCCAGCGCATGCAGATACCGGACGCCATCCAGCACCATCTGCAGCACCCGTGTGGCGTCACGCTCAGTGAAAGAACCCTTGGCAATGATGCGGTCAAAGAGCTCTCCACCAGTGGCCAGCTCCATCACCATGTATACACGCTCCTGAGTCTCAAACACCTCCACCAGCTGGATGATGTTGGCGTGGCGCACTCGGCGCAGCACACGCAGCTCCGACTCACATACCTCCCGCCCCTCCCGGTACTTGGTCTCGATCATCTTGATGGCATATGGCTGTCGGGTTGCTCGGTGCTCCACACGCACCACTCGGCTGAAGCTGCCTCGGCCAATTAGGGCTTTGATATCATACTTGGCTGTCACACGTGGGTCGAACTTGGCCCTGTACTTAGCCACCCTGGCCCTGCGTGGTGGTTCTGAGGGAGGCTCTGTGTGGCCAGTAGTGGGAGCACTGGGACAGGGGTTTGCACACTGACTGGCTGTTGGGAGCCCCGCTTTGAGAGGGCCAACACTGTCCACCTCCGTGATGAAGTGCTTATACACATCGCTCTTAGTACCACTGAAGGGCTCCACCTTCTTGACCAGATCCAGCTGGACATCCTTGGGCGGCTCAGGAAGGACCTTGCTTGTCCCACAGCCCATCACGGACACGGGGGCATCCTCTCCCGCGAGGCTGGCAGGACCCGCTCTGCAGGCAGAGCCCCGTCTACACCTATGCAGACAGAAGATAGGACAACTCAGCATAGCTGCAGACACCTCTGAAGGAATACCAGCCATCCTCCTCCTCCTTGTCCCTCGATAATCCTAGCCTGAAGACCTAGCTCTAATATGATTCCCTGGAAGGGAGGATGGCTTTGGTCCCCGAGTGCTCAGAGCCCAGGCTCAATGAAGGGTCTAGATGAAAGACTGGATGTGAGCATCACAGTCTTGACATGTATCTCCCTGAATCTTATTCTCATGTTGCTTTTCAACCCTGAGAGGGCAGGAACACGCCCCAGGCTCAGCTGTTACTGTCCCCACCTTCCTCCCTACTCTGCCTGGGTTCCTCATCCTAGTTGAAGTTCTGTTTTTTAAATGTTAAAATCACCCTCTTATTATTCTGACTTGTCTTTCCTCACGTGAGGCCTTCTCTCCAACACTATCACTCGCCAGGCCTCCAAAAGCCGCTTCTCCGAGACCTTTCCTGTGTATCTTTCCTGGCGCTCTGTGCCTCCTTCAGGTCCCTCTGCAACCACGCCCCACTTCCCTGGTTCTCTGCCCTAACCTCACCCTTTCCTGGACAGCTCCCACTGCTTCACTAACATACCATCCTCACCCTGACAGCATTAACACCCTGTTTCCGGGTCTCTCACTTCCCCAGTCACCGCATAGGTGGCTAAAATGCTACACTAAGTCCCAGAGCTAGCTGAAATCAATCCCAGTGAACTTGGGACCACAAGCCTTAGCACAATGCCATCAGGTAGCCACCAAACTGGACATCATTCAAGAGGCAGAGGGAGCTTTAAGCTCAGAAAAGACAACAGCAGGTCTGTGAACCACAAGGTTGCTGGTTCAATTCCCAGTCAGGGCACATGCCTGGGTTGTGGTCGAGGTATTTAAAAAAAAAACAAAAAACAAACAGGCCAAGAAAGGTAGAAACTTGTCCCAAGTCACTTAAATAGTGATGGCCAGGCATGGACCCAGATATCCTGGTTCTCCATCCAGAGCTCCGAGCTCCTTCTATTATATATAAAGACTGTAGAAGAACCAGAGCTGGTGCTCACCAGGTCATGGCCTCAATCTTTCTCCATACCACTCAGCTGGTGAATCAACAAACCTTTTCTGAAGGGCCTGTCTTCTGAAGCCTCCACTCCAAGTACAATCTGGGTCACGCTGCTCACTGTTGTACTTTGTACTTTATTTTATTTTTTCCATTACCATTTATCCTCCCAATACTCTCTTCCACCTCCACCCACCCCCACTGCTGTACTCTTGATTGCCTCTGATCACTAGAGTTGTCAGCCCCTTGAGGGAAGGGGCCACTTCTAGAACTCTCTGGCACCCAGCAAAGTGCTGAGCTTGGAGCAGGCATTCAATGTTTGTTAACAATGAATGAAAGGTGGTCTGGCTCTCAGATTTCTATTTGTCATGAGGCAACAACCCCAGGACCTCAGAAATTTCAAGTGGCAGAGAGAGGCCAGGTTGATGGTTAAACCACAGCCATGCTCTCTGGGCACCTGTGTAAATGTCAACAACAAAGGAAGCCAGGGCTCTCAGTTCTATTTGGGTCTTACAGATTGTTATCTGAACTCCAACACAAGCCTGTCCACAAGCTGCCAGACCTGACCCCATCAGTGGGGGAGGCCAGGGGCCTAGGAACAGGGGGCAAGGATGGATTCTGAAACAACTTCCTAAACACAGAAGCCAGGTCTGTGGATGTCTCCCAGACAGGGGCCCACAGACGCCCTCTCTGATAACATTCCTTACGATTGCTCTTCACAGCAAAGCTTCACATCCTTTTACCTGCAACAATTTCTATACTCTGCTTCCCTGTTTTGAAAGACTATCAAAAGGAAGTAGGCAGGAATCTCTCAGTAATCCCAGAAATAAGTGACTGATAAACAGCATGCCTAACCATCACGAGGCAAGCAGATATACACCAGGCAATGAAGCCTGTCGCTTTAGACAAAAAACCCCAAATAAGGACATATGCAACCTTTGGGGGGGAACTATATGATTCTGCTTTCTAAAACAGGAAGTTTGACATAGGACCAGCAATTTCATTTCCAGAAACAGTACTATGAAAACATTTCCACGGAAAGCAGAGATATTTGTACAAGAAAGTTTATGCAGCATTCTTTATAAAAAGGAAAAATGGAAACAACCCACATAACAATCAGTAAGGGAATAATTAACTACATTAAGATATATTCATATAATGGAATGAGCTGCAGCTATTAAAAAGAATGACATAAATCCATATATATTGACAAAGAAAGATACCAGTTACTTAATTTTACTGAATGGCTTCCTGCCAGGATCCATGTCTGTGATGTATTAATTAGTTTAAAATAGTATGTAAAGCATGTGGCCCAAGAGGGATTTTAAAAAGTTAGACATATATATGGAAAAAAAATATCCTGTAAGGGTAGAAGAGAAACTGTTGACAGTGACTACCTCTAGGGTATGGAGATGTGAGGGGAACAGGCAGAAGGAAGGAAAGGGGACTTTTACTTCTCACTTCACATCTGTGCTGCTGCTGTATTTTTAATCATCACCATATATTACATTTTTAAAGTTAGCAAAAATATATATTATAGAAATCTATAGACTAGAATATGAAGAAGGAAAAAAGCTGGAGGAACATACACCGAATTATTAGTGTTTTGTGTCTAAAGACACTGTGCATTTATTCACTTCTGTAACATTTTAACTTCTAGTATTATTTCATAATAAAATGATGACTTTTTAGAATATAGTAACTTGGGACCCCTCTTCTCAAGGACATGGTAATACTCAGTGGGCAGTCTCCTCCTCATGACTAAGAGAAGGAAAGAAGTTCAAAGGTTTGTTGTGTTCTCTTCATTTTAGCATGACCCCAACTCCATCTAAGACATCCCACCTACTACCTAGAAATACAGACTCTGGCAATGTACCTGGGGTTCTCCTTCCAAAATCCCAAGGTTCAACCCACAAATATTTACTGAGCTCCTGTTGTGAGCCAGGAACTTTGCCAGACAAAAAGAAGGTAGCCACAGTCTCTGCTCTCAAGGGACTTAAGCCCAGATAGGTCCACAACAAGAGTCCCTTAATCCAGTACACTTTGGATGTCCTATGAGTCCACTTAAGGGCTAGCAGCCTGAAAAGGGTCCCTCTGATATAACTTTACCCCAGCAAACAAAAACATCACAGTTTTCTACTTTAATCACATCAGACACCATGGCAACAGAGAGTTGTACCAAGAATTAGCTGAGGGGTGACCCAGCCAACACAACTCAGCTTAATATTCACTAAGTAAGATTCCTGGAAGGAAAAGAAGTTCAAGTAAGTATGGTAAGTCTCTATCCAGCTTTCAACAAAAAGAATCGCTTTCCTTCTTCCAGGGCTGTATTTCTCAAATTCTTCTATGTGTACCCTGTGGTCAATGGAGATAGATGTTCTCAGCTACTCCAAGCTTAAGGGTCAGTGCTTTAGAACACCAACAGCACATTCACGTCATACAGCTGGGAAGCTCTGAGGAGGACTGAAGCTGCCCGCATAACATGCCCACATTTATAAAGTAGAACAGAAGGCCGAATCAAAGCCTCATTCATTTATGTGACTGACAAAGAACCCCAATATCGCTCTTGGGAAAGTAAAATAAAAACTTTGCTTTCTGCTAAAACAAACAAACAAGCAAACAAACAAAAAAGAAACCCAGTATCTGATTCAGGTTCTATAGGCACTAAGATCTGCGGGGTATTCCACTCCAGGGGAGGAGCAAGTCTAGCTCAGTGCTAGAAGCAAACACTTCCTGAAAGCTGCACTTTCTCTAGCCCATTAATTCAACGTTACAAGTGCAAGAACTGCAATTAGACCTGGACACTGTGCTCACTTAGCAAACCCACCCTCTAGTGAGTCAGAATTCTTAGGGGAATGGCCAACTACAACTGCCCTGAGTAGAAGCAGTTTTGTTAAGAGTTTTCCCTGATGACTAGAAAAGACCTTGAGGAAATCACAACACAAGGCAGCCTCCTACATGAGGCTCAGTTTGAGGAGCAAACAGGCTTACTAAGATGAGATCTTCTTTTAACAAGGGACACATTCTGGGAAGAACAGTCATTAGTAAACATAGTGTCTTCCATTTGCTGAATTCCAACTGTGCTAAGTATCTTATATGCACTCTCCTCTCTGCAACCACATGAAATAGGCATGATTATTCCTATTCTGGAATGAGCAAACTAGGAGTCAGAAGAGCCTCAAGATCTCATAAAAGCCAAGAACTGACTCCCAGTCTTTCTGACTTCAAAGCTCATGTCTTATCATCGAATCATACTGCCTCCCCAAGGTATGGGCAATTAGGCTGCAACGGAAGGCCACAAGGCACAGCTAGCCCTTCCCAATGGACAAAGATGACACAACAATTTCCTGGGGGCAATGACAATGATCTTCAACCAGGGAGCACAATAAAGTCAGCCAGGGAGTTTTTTCAAAGTATATATCCAGATTCTGGATCTTCTTATTCAGTCTCAGAGAGTGAGGCTCTTGAATTTCTATCTTGAAAAACTACTTGAGATCATCAAGGTTGACAGAGCTACACCACCCACCACATATGCGTACATGTGCAAACGCAAAATACAGGTTAGCTGTGCTCATCTCAGATCCTGGGCCCTGACAGATGCTTGATAATATAGCTAAATCAGTATCCATTCTTAAACCAGCAACCTATAGCAGTCGTATACTTAGCTCCTACTTTATGCCAGGCAGAGCCAGACACTCGGGTGCAGATACAAAACACTATCCCCAAACTCACCATGGTGTGACACATGATCTAGTCAACAGCAGTCACATAAATAAAAGTACAGAGGACCGTGCTCACTTGGGCAGCACATATACTAAAATTGGAACGATAAGAGAGATTAGCATGGCTCCTGCGCAAGGATGACATGCAAATTCGTGAAGTGTTCCACATTTTACAAAACAGTGCGGAGGAGTCAGTGGTTATGTGTGAAGGGAGATTTTCCCAACGAAATAAAATCTAAGGTGAGTTTTAAAGGACAGATGTAAATTTTCCATTAAAATGGGTGGAAGGGGAAAGAAGAGTATTATAAAAAATGAGAAAACTGGGTATCTAAAGCACAAGGGTATTAAACCACAGAGCTAACAGAAGGTTCACATGCCCCAACAACAAAATACATAAACAGAAGGCAAAAATGCCTAGGTGTTGACTTCAGGGTTAGGCCTCTATCAGATTATGAAGAGCTCTGAATACCTTCCCAAGAAGCGTGGCTTTTATCCTATCGGCACTAGGGAGCCATTTCCAGGCAATGAGGTACTTATTTAGCTGAGAATTATTACTTCAGCAGCTTCGTTTAGTGGGAGTGAGCATGGACACTCGGGCTTCCCCTTATAAGCAGAGGGATGACTGGCTTGCGGGGCAGGTGACCTGGCTGGACTCAGGCCTGCTCTTTCCCAGACTGAATAAGGAAGCGACCAGCTTCTCGCCAGCCCCTAGCGTTCAGTCGCAAAGGACGGGTGTGGAGTAGGTGCTGGACACAAGAAGGGAGTGAGGACAACCGCGTTAGTTCACCATGACCGACGCCGGCTGGCTGAACAGCAGGCAGGGCAGCTGACCACGTCCACCAAGCCCACGAGGCCCCAGAGAAGGGCTACCCAGCGCAGCAGCACGTTTCAAGGCCACTCCAGCCTCTCACACTGGGGACCCCGAGCAGCCATCGCCTGGCCTGCTCCCCAGCCCCGTAGGCCCCGGCACACCTGGCACGGGCCGAGGGCTCCGGTCTGGGAAAGAACAGGCCCGGTACGCCAGGAAGCGGCCGTGGCCGCAGCTTGTCAGTCCCTCCCGCCCGTTGGGCCGTAGCCCTGGGCCGGGCCGCCTCACCTCGCGGGGGCGGCGGGCTCTTCGGCGTCTTGGCGGCTGCGCTGACCCTCTCGGGGCCGTGGCCACGGCCGCCGCCGCCGCCATCCTCAGGCGTTAGCGTCGTGGCGTCATCACAAAGCGCGCTCGACGCCAAAACAAACCTACGGGGCGGAACGGGGACGAAGTGGGGGCGGGCCCTCAGGAGGGCCAGCTACCCAGTTGGGGACTCTCAGAGCGTGGCTTGCCAATCAACGCTTCCGGGGCGGGGACAGGCTCCCCGGGGTGGGGATCGTCTAATTGTTGCTGAATTGTTCGACTGTAGGCAGCGGGGGGGGCGGGGGGACCTATGCTAGAGAAAGGAGGTACACCTGAAACTTATATAAAATAATATAGAACGTCAACTACAACTGAAAAATTAAAGTAAAAAGATTAAGTTTACAAAAAGAAAAAGGAGAAACTGCGTAGGGAGAGTTTCAAGTTTCTGGTTAGCGGAGAGAGTGCTCTGTCATACAAGGTTGGGGACACATGCGTGTCAACAGGTTTCTGGAAGTGCCTCTGAAACTCCGCAAAAGATCGATTTAAATTTCATTAACAAATCTATTTTTTGAAAACTGCAGTTAAAATAATTCAGGCACTCAGGTGCATTAAATATAGCCTCCATCTCAGAGGAGTTAAACATGGTACCTGAGGATTGGTAGCCAGTCTTGGGCAATTTAGGTGTAACGTGTATTTGTTGTTATTGAATTTAGGTGTATCCTAAGAGTGCAAAGCAAGTCGATTTGAAAAGAAAAAGAAGGAAAAAAAGAAAAAAATTATCATTCACAAAAACTTCTCTATAAGATCAGAATTGTCTTACTACAGACAACTCAAATTTCGGGAGACAGGGGTGCAGAATAGATGCTGCAGGTAAAAGGGAGATTGTAATCTCTATCCATCTTGCTCACTTGGGTCTGTTCATTTATTCAAGTCTTTACTGAATTAACACTTACTTTGCACATGGAACCGTCTCCTGGATTATATAAGACAGTGATTTTCTTTCTTTCTTTCCTCCCTGCCTTCCTTTTTATATTAAAGTGGCTATACAAAAATCTTTCTTTCATTGGTTATAGAGAGAGGGAGGAAGGGAAAGAAAAACATCAATTTTTTTTGTTCCACTTACCTATTCATTGGTTGATTCTTTTTTTCAAAGAAAAGATTTGACTTATTTATAGAGAGAGGGGAAGGGAGAGAGAGGGAGAGAAACATGATGTGTGTGAGCTACATCCACTGGTCGCCTCTTAAATGCCCCCCACTGGGGACCTAGCCCACAACCCAAGCATGTGCCCTGACGTGTAACTGAAACAGCAACCTTTTCATTTGCAGGCTGGCACTCAATCCACTGAGTCACACCAGCCAGGCCTCACAAGATTTTTTAAAACATGCTCTTTTCCCTTAGATTGTCAATTAAAAAATGACAACAGCCAACACAACAGTAGCTGTCTGGTGTGAATGAATAAAAATTTTACCTAAGTTTTTTTGTCAGAGCAGCAAAAAGTGTATTTTTGGTGTGCTGTAGAATTTTAGTAATTAGTTTATGTGTGCCATGAGATGAAAAAGGTTGAAAATCGCTGACATACACTAATGTTATACTTTAATCCTAAAAATAAATTAACACCAATAAACATCATTTTGTCTGCTTTATTAAGTAGGGAACTATAAAGGATTTGTTTTTTTTTTTTTAAAAAAGAAAAACTGTAGAAATTGCTTCTAAAAGTCTAGTGTGATGAGTACGGGCATAGCGTTTGGGGCCAAAGAAACCTGGGATCATATCCCAGGTCTGACACTTCCACAGCTGTGTGACCTTAGGCAAGACATCTCCCCTCCTTAAGCCTCATTTTTCTTGTCTGTGTAATGGGGCTCATAATTCTAACCCCACAGATTTGTTGTGAGGTTAAGAGCAACATAGAAAATTGGGTTAATGGAGCTTAGAAATCTATACAACACTCCCATTTTACATATGTTCAGCAAGTTAATTCAACTATTTATTGAGCCTTTTCTGTGCACAGGTGCTGACCTTGGCTCTGGTAAAGAACATGAGGTGAAGAAGCATGCTGATGCAGAGGGGTCTGGGCTTAGGACACCCAGCCCCCAGGCTCTCCCCTGAACAATAAGCTGTTCCATGTCTGCAGAGCTGCACAAGTGAGAAACCCCACCCCCATGATGCTCTGGCCTGGGCAGCTGTGTCCAGGGCCCAGTCAGTTTGGCTCTCAGCTCATCACTCTCGTTCAGCTTTGGGATAAAATACGTAAAGCTCTTAAGCTTCTAGCCAGAGAGCATATTCTGTCCCCACCTCCAACCCCATACACACATTCCAAGTCACTCAATTCCAGGGAAGAGCAAAGATTTAGGGAGCAAACACCAGGGGAAAGTAGGTCACAGCAGGAGGATCGTAATCTCCCACCATGGCTGGCCCCTGCTACTAGAAGCAGGCTGCTCTTAGCCACCCACAAAGAGTGGCTCTGGGAAGACTTTTGGGGTCTGGAGCCCCAGCACCATCCCTCTCAACAATATGCCCAGGCTGAGGGGGTTGCCCCAAGATAATACATCCTCCACACTGTGGTCATTCTCAGCCAAGCTCTTGCTGACTGTAACACTTCTATGCTGGACTTAGATATTCTATCAAGTACACTTTTTGTACCCAGCCCTAGATGCTGTGCTGGAGACACAAAGAGGACCCTCGGGGAGTCCACAGATGGGAATTACGATCCGGACCAGACAGTAACAAAGCCAGTGCTATCAGTACTGAGGCAGAAGAGAGCCCAGGAGCCGTGTGGACCTGTAGGAGGCTGCTGATTCAGCTTGCAGTCAGGGTTAGGGAATATTTCCTGGAGGAGGTGAAACTGAGCAAGAAAGGAGTTTTCACCAGGAGAAAATGGGGAAGGGTATTTTCTGAACACAGAGAACAGATGTACAGAGACTCAGGAATAAAATCATGGCCTTTCCTACTGGAAAATTTTGGCAGTCAAAGGAGGGCAGATCTGGGAGGGTTGCTTTTCTGAACTTTTCGCTTTCAGGTTATGGGAAAAGGTGGGTAATGCTGGTTGGGAGAGAAGCGGGGATAGAAGTTCAGGCAAATGAAGCACAGGAGCAAAGATACGGCAGAAAGGGAGTTAATGGAGGCATCTGACGAAGTCAGCATGGGAGGGTGTTTGGGCGGTGTGGATGCAGTAGAGGTCCTACATACGTGGGTGGAGGTCTCTGGAAGCACTTGTCACCCTGGAGCTTCTACAAGGGTCCTATCAGGCCTGATCTGTCCTGAGGCACAGCTGCCCAGCATGGGCCTTTGTGTAAATCTGGCCCGCCTAGATCCTATTCCTTTGGGCCCCTCTCATAAAGCCCTGTCCCCCCACCCTCTCCCCCACCACTGGTGAGTCCCCATTCTTACCTCCCATCGCCCCATCATGCTCCTTCTCTGAAGCCTCCCCTGAGGCGTCAAGGCCTGGACAGGTAGCTCACCCTTCTCTGTCTGCCGCAGAGAGGGGTTGCAGGAATAGGCTGAATAAACTGGGCAGAGCTGACTTACGCAGGGCCTCATAGACAATGAGAAGGAGCTTAATAGCAGGATCAGTTTTCAGTATAGAAAATGGAGAATAAAGGGGGAAGGAGTGAGATTTGAAGCCAGTAAGGAGGCCATGACAGCGCCCACTGTGGGGCGGTGGCTGGGAATAGGGTCCTGGTGCTGGTGGTAGAAGACTAATCAAAAGATGATCTCACCCTCTCTGAGACTCCTCCTTCCCTCGGGGTCTGTCCATGCTGAGTCTGGCTCTTCCTCTCCTCCAGGATGAACAGGGGTCCTCATACCACACACCCACTCCATGCTTCCAGAATGCCTTCCGGGCTTGTTTTGACTTCACACTGCATACCTCTTCTCAAAGAACAAGCTTGTGGAGAGCAGAGACCAGGGCAACCCTCACTGTGACCCATTTCTGCAGCTCCAAGTCACATCAGGGACCTGAATGTAGACTCCAACAGGGGCTCCCCACCTTCTGGTACAGGCTCCCCTCAGATGGAACAGGACCCCAGAGAGGGAGAGGACTGAGCACTTAGTCTGAGCTGCCCTGAAGGCTAAGGTTCAGCAGAGGAGGCGGCCAGATGGTCAGGAGCCTGGAGGCTAGAATGAACCTGGGGAGTTGGGGTGGCTGTACTGGGGAGCAGGGTGAGATGCTCCACCAGCTCACAGGGCCCCTAGGGACCAGGCAGGGCTAGAAATACCAACGAGGGAGGACAGACCACTAGAGCTCTTGGAGCCTGCATGTAATGGAAAGCTCAGCACTGCTCCTGGGAAATGAGTGTTTGTGAGGAGAAAGATGGAGTCCCCTGTGGTGGCCTTGGGCCCTGCCCATTCTGTCTCAGGGAATCAGCTTCAGAGGCCTCCCTCTGAGTCAAGCAGTGAGCAGCCAGAAAAAAAGGAAGGAGCTTAGTACAAATATAAATACTTTTAATGAAAGCTGAACGTGCTCTGCAGAGCCTGGAGAGCAGCCACCAGAGCAGGGGTGGTGGCAGGGGCACTGCTACCCAACCCCAGTGGCTAGGCCAGGGGCCCCAGGAGCCAAACAAATGCCAGGGCAACCCCCAGCAGCAGGGGAGCAGGAGCTGGGGTCGGGGCAGGTGCTGCTGCCCGCAGTGTCTCCTGGTTGACCTCAGGGCCTGTGCCACGCTCCCGGACGTGCACAGGGGCGCCACACAGTGTGTGCAAGTTATCCGGGTGCTGGGCCTGGCGAGCTTCTTGCTGTAGTGATTCCCATGCAGCAGCCGCCTCCTTTGGGCAGCCTGACAAGACTCGAGAGGCGCAGGTGTGGAAGTCGTTCCAAGATCTGTTAAGGGTGTAGGGTTAAGGGAATTAGGTGGGGCAAAAAGGCTTTGGAATGGGAAGAGGTTCAAGGATGGAGGGTAGCAGTTGGGGGTAGGGAGGTCAGGCTGCTGCCCTTGTACCTGCTCTTACCTGCAGATAGTCTCCAGCTCACCTCCATGGCCCATGCCGTCCCCCAAGCGGATGAGACACTCAGCGAAGCCCTGATATATGTTGTCACAGTGGCCTGGGCCCATGGCGGCTGCCTCCAGGAGAGACACAGGGAGTGGGGGTGGGGAGGTAGAAAACAGTAGATAGGATGAGCTTGCCTAACCCCCAGGGGCTTGTTTACCCTAGTATGCCCTGGGGACGTGACTCAGCGTGAATGAGGTGCCCCAGGGGAATGAGTACATCTAGGGATTACCTGCCTGGGCCCTGTTCTGGGTGGGACTGAATAGAGTAAGTGTGGAGCAGGGTAGGGTAGGTGTCTTCATGTTCCAGGGGTCAGCTCTTCCTCCAAGCTTCTGGGACCTCTGCAGCCCCACATCGGGTGAAGATGGTCCAAGTGAAGGAGCCAGGACAGGGCAAAGCAGAGCAGGTTCCAGTGCCACACTCCCCCTCCTCAGCACTGTGTCCACTCTCTGCAGTCTGGACAAACTTTGCTTGGCTTTCCCACCCCATCCCAAAACAGGTATTGTCAGATGGGAAGGGCAGGATAAAGGGTGTCAGGATCCAGGTCAGACCCTAACAGGACCTCAGGGAATCCCAAGGCTGGTCTAGGAGTCTCCTCAAAGGCCATCTCTTCCTTTATTAGAAAGGGTGCTGCAAAATTTTGAGGTTCTTCCTCCACACCTAGCGCTCAGTTCCTACCCCTCTCTTTCAGTTCTGAAGCCACCAGTACACATTATCTCCTCCGTGGAGACCTCGAACCTCCTTGCCACCCTGACCCCCTGTGCTCAGCAGGGCTGTGCCCCAGCTCCCACACACCCTAAACCCAGCCTGGTAAGAGGGTGTATGGCCTGGGCTGGTCCAGTACACCTGTAACTCACCGAGTGGTGGTAACAGCAGCAGCAGCAACAGCGCCACAGCAGCGGGCAGTCGCTGGCAGCGGAGACAGCAGCAGCAACAGCAGTGCATCATCCCTGGCTGGAAATCTAGTGCCAGAGCTAGCAGCTTGAAGTGCAGCCCTTCAGCCCAGCCCCCAAAAGGATGGACTGTGATTGGATGAGAGCTGGAGGCGGGGCTTCAAAGCCAGCAGGGAGCCACCACCAGTACTCAGATAGGCAAAGGAGAAGAACCTCGGAGAGAAGAGTCCAGGGGATCAGGGTCCTGCTGAGCTGACCCCAGGGCCCTCATCCCAAAGATGGAGAGGGGAGATCTAGGAAAGCAGTTGTGCAGATCATGGTAGGTGTCCAGGCCCCTGGGGTGGGTTGGACTTGACAGAGCTCCCCACAGGGAGAAGACAGGGGCCAAGGAACAGGGCAGCTATCAGAGTCACATCAAAGACACACCAAAAGCACACATACTCCATTTTATTGCAAAAGCATTTAATTAAATTTTTCAATGTTTTTCAAAAACAAAAAAGGTCCAAAACAGAGGTATAAAGAAACGTGGAAAATTTAACTCAAGTGGTATCATAATCTCAGGGGGTCATGCTCCAGGTGTGGCAGAACCCAAGAAGGCACAATACCCACCCTGGGCCCAGCCTCAACCTGCTGGCTACCATAACCACAACCAGTGCTCCCCCCTTCAAACACCCCAGAGGTGGAAGGCTGAGCAGGCAACGGGCGGACATGACCCTGCTTTGGCCTAGGCCTGTCTACTGGCCTTCAGTGCCACCCCACCCCTGGGAAAGGCAGGCTTAGCTAAGGGAGGCTGGGGGTCACAAGGCCATGCAGCATGAGGCTGAGACGCCGGGCCGCTTTGCCAAGTGAGTTGTGTGGTTCAGCCTGGAGGAACTGGAAGAGCTTCTGGCGCACCTGGGCCATGACGGAGCCCATGTGGTCCCGAGTGATAGGGTCACTGTGGTCCAGGTGCATCACAGCATCTTCTAGGTAGCTGGGGGTGGAGGAAAGGGACAGGCTATAGGTGGGTGCCAGCGGATGGGAGCGCCCCCTGGTGGCACTGAGATCCAGAGGGCCAGCTGACAAGGGAGGCCTCCAAGCCTGAAATGGGTGGGGGGCAAAGGGAACTGGTGGAGAGAATTAGGGAGTCAGGCTAGAGTGGGAGTCTTTGCTTTGAACTGCTCCCCTATCTCTATCCCAGCCTATCTTCTGGTGCAACTGTACCCACTCACCTGAGCTTGAGGTCAGTTCGAGTGCCAAGGTCAGAGGCCAGCTGCTGGATGAGGGAGAGGAGTACGGGCTGGGAGAGTGGGCAGGGTGGCTGCCCAAAAACCTGGCCTGGGTCCACAGTTTCACACACGTACAGCACCAGGTTCAGATCAGCAGCTGTCAGGGCCTGAGTAGAGGAAAGCATTTAGTGTGTGGACCTTGCTGGGAGACAACTGAGTCTAAACTGGGCCTAGCGCCTGGCATACCTGCTGGAAGGCCTGATTGAGGTGGCCCTGCTGCAGCAGCTGCAGGATATGGGCTTGCTGGGCCTGGCAGTCCAGGTGGGCAGCAGGGACAGGTGTGCCAGCAGCTGAGCGCATGGCCTGCATGATGCTAGAGGTGACGGCAGCCTGCTGCTCCTTAAGTGCCACACTCACCTCACCCTTAACAATGCGTTGTACCTGTGCTAAAATGGACTCCTGCAGGCTGCAAAGGGAAATAAGGGAGATGAGGAAGATAGGGAGTCTGGTATGGCCTTTTCCAAACCCACCACCTTGCCCAGTGTTCTGCCCACACACCTGCCCACTGCCACATGCAGCTGGTGCTGCACCTCAGCCCGAACGCTGCTGGACACAGTGGCTGCCATCTGCTCAGTGGCCCCCTGCAACGTGCTGACCAGGCCCCGCAGCTGGGCCAGCACAGGCTCCCGCGCCTCCTGCTCTCGTGCCTTCCGGCTCTTCATGTGGCTCTCTAGCTGTTGCAAGTCTGAAAGGTGACCACGGGGGCCATAAGGATGGTGAGGGAGAGGAGGACAACCCCTCCCCCTTGGATATATGACCCCACTCACATTCCTGTGTGCCCAGTCGGAAGCTATCATTGATCTGCTGGAACATGGCCTGGCAGCTCTTCTCAAAGGCGGGCAGCACCACACTCTGGAAGGCTTCACGGTAGGCAGCCTGCATTGGCCCCTGTAACGTGTCTGCAGCTGCTCGGGCAATGGCATCTGTCAAATTCTGGGGGTAAAGGGAAGGGCCGAACCAAAAGCCTGAGCCCAAGCTGGTCTGACCAAGCCCACCAACCACCAACCTCCCTCTTCTTTGGCCCTATAGCACCTTGGACTTCAGCAGCTTGGAGATACTCTCTTTCATGCTACCTTCCACAGCCGTGAGCTTGGTGGCCACTGAGGTGCTCAGTTGGCCTGCCACAGGCTCTAGACTCCTAGAGACACCTGGGGCAAGGTAAGGAGGGAGAGGTGGAGCCATGAGGAAGCTTGGCAGGTAGGGGGCCCCACTCCCACCCAGCCCATCCAGAGAAGTCTCCGTGCAAAACTCACATGGAGGCACTGTCTTCTTGATCTCATCCCGTATGCTGCGCTCCAGCCGCCCAGCCACAGCTGAAGACAGTGCCTGGGACAGCTGTTGTGTCAGCTGTTCCTGCAGCTGACCACCTCGTTGCTGTCCTTCAGCCAGTGCCCGCTCTAGCCGCCGCTCTGTGTGGTAGCTAAGGAACAGGCCTGGAGCAGGTCCCATGTCCCTTCTCAGTCCAAGAATGCTGCAGCTGCCCCTAACCCTCTTCCACGCGGGGCCACTGCCCACAAGGATACGCTCCTGTTCATGCCGCGATTCTAGGGCACGTTCTACATGGCCCGTGACAGTGCTCTGCAGGCCTTCAAGTTGGGCACACAGACGCTGCAGCAGCTCTTCTTGGCTGTGCCGCAACTCCAACAGCTCTCTCTGCTGTTGCCAAATTAGTGCTGGCCAGTCCTCAGAGGGCTCTGCCACCTGCCAGTAGCACCGACAGTCACATGATACCTGCCCTACCCTGGTCCCCACACACTAGACCAGGGAATGGCCCAGACCTCTTCCCCACCCTCCAAGAGGAGTCCCAGAAGGAAAACGGGTGTTTGCTCACTCACCTGGTGCTCCGTGAGCCGGGATTCCATGGCTGAATCCCTGCCATAGGCAAGAAGCACCTCAGGCCATGTCATGCAGGCAGCCTGGGCACCACCCCTCTCCCTGGCCCCAGGACCCCTCCTACCCATCATCTTTTTTGCCCTTTTTCTTGAGCTTGGGTGAGGTTCGAGGGGATCCCTTAGTCTTCCAGTCCTTGGCAGGCAGCCGTGGAGTGGGAACTTTGGCGCCAAAGCCCCCGGCAGCAGAGGCAAGGCTGGCCACCTCATCATCGTGGTCACTGTGGGAAGGGGTGGGAGATGCATAAGCACCTACCACTTCCTGGTCCTCCCCTGTGAGAGGAAGGGTGTGGGGTGGTATCTACCTTTGTTCAGCACTGGCATCCTGGCTGTCATGTTGTTGCAGCAAGTGATAAGGTGGTCGGTGGAAGGCCAGGCTCTTGTGCTTTTCCTGTAGGCCATTCCTGGGGCTGGGAGGACAGGCTGATTCAGCAGTGGATGACTATCCGAAGCCCCTACCATCAGCACACTTTCCCCCTCCCAAGCTCCTCACCTTTCTGTGAGGCTGCTGCAGGTCTCCCGAGTAATGTCTGGTGCTGTAGGCCAGACCTGACTGTCAGGGGTTGTGGCCTCCTGCGTCAAGGCGGCCTCCAGGAGGGAAGGGGTACTATGCCGATCCCCATCCCCAGGGCCTCCATCCAGGCTAAGCTGGGAGCCAAGCTCAGGCCCTGGCCGGGGCCGCGGGGACAGCAGGTGTAGTGCTGAGGCAGCTGAGGCCATACTGTTTGGCTCGAGGTCCTCAGGAGCAGAGGAGCCAAAGCCACGGGACAGGGCCTCAGATGCGATCTCAGGGATGTCCTGGGATAGGGCAGTGGAAGCTGAAGATATAACATCAGGGGAGCGGGTACGGCTGGGGGAAGCCTGGCGTAGCCCCAGGGGCTCCACTTCCTGCAGCTCCAGGGAGATTGCAGAGGCAGCAGTAGGTACCTGAGGTGGGCCAAAACGGGGACTTAGCTGGAGGGAAGCAGGAGTAGGGGAAGCACAGAGATGAGCTCTGGTCATTTGTAGTGATGAGAGATGTGACAGTGGGGAAAGGGGGATGCAATCAAAAACAGCCGCAGCTCAGGGGAGGAGGTGGGAATGGACAGGCTGAGGAGCTGTCCTCCAGGGAACATGGGAGGCTGAGATGGCCTCAAGGGAAACATGGGCCACCAGAGGCAGAACAGGACAAGTAGACACAGTGCTAAAGAAGAAGGCTGCTGCCAACCTTCTCTCTGCTATACACCTGCTAACTTGCATTTCACACACACGCACCTGCCCAGCCCCTTTGGGAGTTAATTTGTCAGCTGGACCTGGGAGCAGGCCAGGCAGGAGGCTGCGCGGGCTTGCCTGCAGGCTGCTGCCACTGTTCATTGTCAGACTGCCATCCAGCTGCAGCTTGGGGCTCAAGGTCAGCTCCTCAGGTGGCCTAGTGGCAAGAAAGCTGAAGTATAAGCAGCCAGAGCTTGGCATTATCTGGCACCAGCCCCTGCCATTCCCATCCTCTGACCCTCACTTCACCTGGGCAAGGAGGGGTCCACCGCTGAGGTACTACTCATGGCAGATACAGCTGTAAGAGAGGAGCTGCTGCTGCTGCTGCTGCTACTGCTGCTGCTGCTGCTGCTATTACTAGGGGATGCAGCAATCTGGGGAGATGTAGAGTAAGAGCTGCAGCCTGCGGGTAGAGATTCCCAGGTCCCCCTGCCCTGAGCCCCAGCCCCAGCACACCTGCTGCAAGGAGGTGCTAGGTGTCATGAAAGCATCAGGTGTCATCAGCTTGGGCTTGGTCTCACTGCTCAGACTAAGGAAGTCAGCGGGTGCAGGTAGCTCCACGATGCGTCGGAGATCAGGCTGGGAGCCGTGAGTAGCTGAACCCAGACCCTCAGAGCCCAGTTCAGGCCGAGATTCTCCAAATGCTGTGGGGAAATCTGCCACTTTAGTCAGATCTCAGACCCTGGCCAATCTAACCTGCTTCTCTCTCACCCCTCACTCACCAAAGTCCTCATGGGCAGTATGGGCAGGGAGGGGGGCGACCACATCAGGGTTCAGTTGCGGCTGGAAGCGGATCTGCACATCTTGCAATGCCCTGCAGGAAGAGAAGGCGAATAGGAGAGAGCTCGAAGGGGCCAGAGTCAGTAGGGTGGGGAGGAGCAGAGGCAGGGCACACTCACTTAGTATGCACACAAAAGAGCTTGATGAGCACACCAGCTGCAGACTCCATAGCACCGGCTCCGTGGGTCCCATCTGCAAGGACAATGCTGACAACTAAAGCCCTGGCCCTGTGTGCCTTGGCACTCCCTACATACCAACGTATACCTCCAACCCTGAGCAGCTCACCAGCCCCTAGGCTGTCATTCTCTTCCTCAGCAGGCAGCACCTCAGTGTGCCTCAGCCGGCAGCGAGTCACAACCTGGATACCGAAGCTCAGTACGGGGTGCGTGAGTAGGAACTCAGAGATGGAACTGAAGCAGGCACGGCCTTCCTCCTGGTTCTGCAGCAGCTCCATTACATAAAGGACCTGCGCAGGCAGTGCATTCACAGCTGAGCTCAGAGGCTCTGCGGGCTGTGGATGTGCCACACATATCCTGGCCTTCCCCAGTGATACCAACTCTGCCCAGGGTGCCCCCAATGCAGTCTACCTTCCGTTGCACGTCGCTGAGAATCAGGTATTCTGCTGAGAGGTCCAGGCAAACTTTGAGGCTGGGGGGCACACTCACTGAGCTGAAGATATCTGGGGAGAAACTGGGAGGCCACAAGGCAGGACACATGAGACTAAGACAGTGGAAAGAACCCACATCCCCACAGCATGGCTTCCCCTGTCTGCTCCCCAGCCTATGCTTACCAAATGGTCTGCAGGCAGGTCCAGGACACCGTGCACCACATCTTTAGCTCCTGATTCTGGTCAGCACCAGTAATGAGGAACCTCCAGAAAGGGACCCTGCAAAGCAACAAGGCGCTGAGTGGCTGGCTGGGAGACTAAGGTCCAGCCTACCACCCGCCTGCCTGCCCACTCACTCACTCAGGGTCCTGTTTCTTATGGTTGTCACAGAACAGGAGGCAGGAGAGAGGCCGCCCATCATGAGGCTTCAACTCATGTAGACACCTGCAAGCAGGCAGAGGAAGAGCCTGAGTGGGTCATCTTGTCCTCTACCTAGGGGTTCCCAGTCCCTCAGGCCCTGCCTCACCTTGGCTCATCCTGTCCCTCAATGTAGATCTGCCAGAACTTGACAAAGCCATCGTGGCTTGCTGTAGCCAGGACAGTCCCATCAGGTGAGAGGGCCCCTTCACTCAGGTACTGGGAAGAACCCAAAGAGCCTTGCTTTACCACCTGACTAGAGGTGGGAGCAAGACCATCGCAGATGAGAATGACAGTGAGCTGGGTTGACTCACAGTGGGTCCGCACATTTGTGTGAAAGACTAAATGAATGGGGGCCATAAAGAAGACCACACCCATGTGGTGCAGCCACATTAGGCATGAGCTCCACAGGTGAAGGTCAATTTGTGATCCAAGTCCCCCTGGGCAGAATGCCAGCAAAGCCACCTGGGCAGCTGTGGGTATGGGGAAGAGATGAAAGACTTAAGAAAAGGGGAAGAGCAAGGAAGGAAGTCAGCTGCATGCTTACTGTGCTGTGGCCTTTTACCATGATGAAGCCCTGCTTGATTTGGCTGACATCCACAGGCCAGGTGCTGTGGTTGGAGCGGAGCATGTCCAGGTTCCACACCTCGGCCTAGAGGGTACAGGGAGGTGAGTGTTCAGCCCATGCCCACACCATGGCTGCTCTGACCGCCCCCGCCCCCCGCCATGCCCAGGCTCCTCACCCTGTCCTCATGCAACAGGGCCACCATTGGGCTACCCTCCTCACAGCAGTCTTCACTCTCCTCGGGAATGAATGGGCACCAGATGATCCTACGAAAGTGGTTCAGTGGCGTACCCTCTGGCTGCCGGATATGGACCAAAATCTCTTCTCTGAGCAGGGCGTTAAGGGCTAGACAGGTGGATGACGAGTGTGTCTCGCAGCCCCAGCTTTGCCCACCTTTCTTCAGCCCCCCATCCCATCCCAGGAAAAGGATACTGAATTTTGCCATTAACCAGAGCCAAGTGCCACACAAACAGGTTGCCTGCCTCATCCAGGCAGGCCAGCTGTGGGGAGTTGACGTGTGCGAAGGCCAGGTCAGCCACACTGCCTGTGAAGCCCTTGAGCAGGGTCCGCTCCGAAGTGCTGACACTGATCACCCGCACCATCGCTGAGCCATTGTTGGCAGCTGGAATCAGGACAGCGGTTGACCATGAGTGGGTATCTAGGCCCAGGCAGCAGCAGAGAAGCCCTGCCGTTGCCTGCCTCGCTGCCACCACCAGTTTCAAGCTTGGTTTTCCCACTTGGCTCCCCAAGGCCTGGCAGAGGTGGGGGCAGCACAGACAAGCCTTCCATTGTATCCCTAAGGTCTGAGTGGGCTGAGTGGCCTTACATTGAATCTGCATTTCTGGGGCTTCTAGCAGAACACCCCCCTCCCGTCCCCTGCCCCAACTCACCCCGAATGGCATAGGCCAAGAAGGAGTTGGACACAGCAATCAGGTTGCCATAGTAGTATTTCTGCTCCCAGTCATACTTGGCGACAGGTTGGATTTTCACCTGAGGACAAGGGTTAGGAAGGTTGTAGCAGCTGAGGGCTGGGGCAGCTTTCCCGAAGCTTAGGTGGTCCCCAGCCTCCCTGGGGACAGTAGAGGCCACATATGCAAGCCCAGCCATCCAATCACAACTCCTGGTGCCAGATTCCCACATAGACTTGGTAGCCAACCCTCGCTTCCTCAGACTAGGGCACACTACCTGCCTCTTAAGGTGGTCCCCATAGGAGATGGCAGCATGGAAACGGGATGGGAGAGACTATGTGTCCCCATCCACCGTACATGCCACAACATCCTGGTACTCACCTTGTTGCTCCCTCGTGCCTTGCTCGAGATGCTAGAGTCACTGCTGGCCACAATTTCTACCTCCTTGGCCAAAATCCCAATGCAGGTAGAGCTGTCATCTCCGGAGAGGCAGCTGCAGGGAGGGGTGCACAAGCTTAACTCTCGTTCACCCAAAGTCTCAATTGGCAAGGTTGGAATGAAGAGAGGACACAGCCACCATAGGGCATGTGTCCAACCCCAGATACACAGTTCTGGGTCCACTGGTCCCCAGACCCAGTGCTCCACTTGCTCACCTCCCTCCTTGGGAATGCTACATCAGGTGCCTAAACATCAGATCCAGGCCAAGCCCCTGAGCTTGTGCTCACCCTTCATCCCAGTGCAAGCTCAATGTGGTTCCAGTGCTCTAACCCAGGACATCTAGTAGGGGAGTAGCAGAGGCTACTGGCCCTTCTCTGCCCTCATCTCATGCCTTCAGCTAGCAGACACCGTAAAGGCCCCATCACCACCGCTGTTATTTCCCAGGCACTCACATGACCTGCTTCTCCTGCAGGTTAATGGAAGGCTTGGCACGGAGACCAGGCTTGTTTGCCGAAGTACCGTCACCTGAACAGAGAGGGTCTGGAACCAGGAGTCCATTGAGGTCCCCATTGTAGGTGTTAGGTGGCCGCTGGCTCTCTGCACTGGGGCCTGGGGACAGAGAGGGCCACTGTCATGAGGTTGTTCCACGGGCCTACTAGCCTCTCCTAATGCAGAGCTTCCCTCAGAATCATGAAGCACTCCAGGAACACTCAAATGAGGCAAGTCTTCATTTGTAGGAAGGAGGGCCCTTCGTTCACCTCTCATATTCCATAAACACCAATGGTGAACCCAATGTATGCCAGGGCCAAGGATGCACATGACACTTTTCTACCTAGGGGAGGGGTGCAAGCTATCAAGGATCTTCTGAGGCCAATTAATATTCACGCCCAGGTCTGTGCAGAGGGACTGTGTACTTAAGGGTAGGGCATGGGAAGGGTCAGGACAGACTTCACAGAGGAGTCACCATCAGAGCTAGTGTAGCTAGAACACACAAACATGGAAAAGGTGAAGGGAAAACAAGGCTGCAGAGGTCTCAGGTATGAGACTGGGGTGCTTAGATGCTCCTGGTGGCAATGAGAGCTGCAGGAGAGTTTTAAAAGAGAAGATAACATGGTCAGCACTGGCCAGAGGGCTGATTGCTCTAAGGCAGCATACAGAATAGTTGAGAACCTGGGTGAGAGATACCACGGCCTACACCAAGGTAGTGGCGGGGGTTGGAGAAGAAAGGACAGGCTACTAAGGCATGGGAGGACATCGGTAAGATGTGGGACTAAGGAAGGCAGGAGCCTGCCCCACAGAGAAACGGCTCAGAAGATGCCACCTTGGGAGGGTAAACTCAGGATGAATGGACATGGAGGAGCTTGACAAAGAGGAGAGAAACTATGGGGTAGTGTGTAGGGTCAGGAAAGACAGCATTTTAGTTTTTCGCCATTCACTGAGTTTCAAGCACCTTCATAGGCTCAGACACTACTACAAAACTCCCAGTGGCAAGGAGACTAGGGCTCCACATTGAGGATCACATCAAATTTTTCTAGTCACAAAACAGTCTGGGGTCTGACACAGTCCGCCAGTGAGAGGAGACAAGCCAGCGCTCCTTGGCAAACAGAAGAATCAAGTATCAATCAATAAACAAGGAGTTCGGAGGAAAGCCTCCTGAGCACTTCACTTGGCTCAGAGCCATCTTAGCTGCTCAGGGGTAAGCTGACCACTTTCCCTCCCCGAAAGGCTACCATGAGGACAAACAGACAACTGCCCAAGGTTGGCCATGCCAGGCTCTAACAAACCTTTGTGGATTCTAGTCTACACAGCAGCTGATGAGCATGAAAGGTCCAAGCCAAGCTCATGAATGAAAGGGAGCACACTCCAGACCTGGGGAAAAGGGTCAGTAGTTTCAAGCAGTAGATGAATTTTCTCAGAGAATATGGAATATATAACCCTACCCAGAGTGAGCACCGGTGCCTACTTCCAGCAGTAGTCAGTTTGGGCCTCCGGGCAGGTTTAAGAACAGGGACTGAGGAAACACCAGTTCTCTCAGCTCTGGCCACTGCACACCTAAACCATCATCACCAGCCAGTCTTTACACCACTGCAACTTTTCACAGGTCCCTGAACCAGCCAGGAAATTTTGGTACCTTCACACGTGCTATCTCCTCTTTGTTAATGCCTTTCTAACATCCAAACCCTTGTTCATATTATAAGACCTACCCTAAACATTGTCTCCTCTCTCAGACCTGCTCTCAGGCACTCTCCAGTCCCCATCCCACCTCCCCTTTCCCCATCAAAATACCAAAACACTCCTCTCTTTCAATGTCAACGGTGTTATACTACAACATCCTTAGGCTCCTTGAGGGTAGGAGCAGCTCTGAGGTATCACTGCAAGCCCAAATAATAGTTTAAACGAATGGAAATAAACTAGGGTTTGCGGATGTTTGTAGCCTAACCCAATCAGGGCCATGCAGTCTGCGATTTGCCTTAATCCCGGAAAGGACGTGGAATTGGGGGTGGTCACTTTCCTCTAGAATATAATTTCAGAAACCACGCCTGGAATCTGTGTTCTAGAGGTAAGGGCAAGTTGCAGAGGCGGATCCGCAGCTCCTTAGCCCAGCGGCTAGGTCTAGACACAGAACTCAGCATACGGAGCACGGACTAGGCCTCTGAAGTATGGCAAACGGGTTGCGAACCCAGACCAGTACCAGAAGCACTAGAGACCTTGGGGCCAGGACACCAGCGTGGCCCTGCGAATTCGAGGAAGGAGCCTCACCTTCAGCTGAGACGCTGAAGGACGAGGCAAAACGGCGCGGAGCCAGGATTGGGAGGGATCGCACCCAAGGGGGTCTGCGCCCTTCCGGGAATATGTTCAGGGGTTTACTGCTCAATCCTTCGTCTGCACTCACCAGCCGGGAGGATGCATAGCCAGGTCGGAGGGACCTGGGGCTCTGAGGGCGACCCTGACCCGAGCCGTCCCTCTGCCTGGTCCACGAACGCTCACCCCCGCTGTCTCAGCTTACCTCCCGCGGGCCGGTCCAGCTTTAGGATGTCCCGTAGGTGCTGCGTGGCGTCCTCGATGTCGATGCTCGCGCAGGAGGCCATGGGCCCAGCCGCAGGTTCCCGGTCCACGCCGCGTTCGTTTCGCTGCCGCCACGTACCAGCCGAGCACAGCGGCGCCGGGACCAGACACGGGACGCGGGTCACTACAATCGGTCCACCCAGAGCCCACAAACGGCCGCCCGCACCGCGTCCCTAAGCCCCTTCAACACTACCAACCGCCTCCACTTCCGGCCCGCGGAGCCTTGGCTCCCGGAACCCGCACAGACCGGAGAAGAAAGGTTCCGGGCGGGGGCGAACGCCTTGCCCCTGCTGGAGCCGCTTTCCCTCCACCTCCCCAACCCCTGTGCCAGCGTAGCCCAGTGTTTCACAGGGCTGAGGCAAAGCAAACGTCTACGTACCGGACCCCGCAAAGCGCTACTAGCCTTAGAATATCCCGCCCCCGTCGATGCTCACTCCCAAGGCAAGGACTCTTGATGAGCCTAGGGCCAGGTCTACTCCAGAAACAGGCTGAATTAGCAGAAGCCTCGGTTACCTTTTAGGAAATGGGTCGGTGTAACTTAATGCCTGAGGGGACCCTCGGTGTAAGAAGGTCCAGGAAATGCAAGGTCAGGAGAGCTAACCCCACTAAAAAAGATCACTGTTCCCTAATAGGCCTCCAGCATCCCCGCTGCCCACCCTTGTACCCTCAGGCAGAAAGAAAGAAACAACAGCTTACAAACACCTCTTTATTGCAGACATTTCAGGCACAGATACATGGAAAAAGCTGTATTGCAGATTTTATACAGGGTGGTTTTAAGAGGCAGCAAGCACCTACCTCTCTTCCCCCACCCCCAACACACAGCAACCTGTTATCAGTCCCACTGAAACCTCAGTATGCTGTTCTATCACAGCACTTCATCCAGCACTGTACCCAGTATAGCCAGGCAACCTCTGGGGGTCTGAGAACTCCTTGGCCTCCATCCATAGTAGAGGAAAAGAGGGGTACAGGTCAGGCATAGCTGTGGTGCCTTCAGCAATCCTAAAACCCCTAATAGGACACCAGCCCAAGTCCTGGGTTTGGTTCTAGCCTGTGGTTGCTACCTTGCCATCAGGTTTACACCACCAGGTCTCAGAGCTAACAGGTTAGATTTGCTATAGGCAAGGCCTCTGTCCCCAAAACTGAGGAGCATAATCTGTCCCAATAGTTAAAACTTCCTGGGATTTGAAGACAATGAGGTGTGTGGTTAGGAAAGGACTAGGAAGCCTAACGGTGCCTTGCAGAGGTCTAAGGGGTGAGAAACCCTGGAGCACAAATCCCTCAAACTGCCTTCTTTCATAGCTCTAAATCTACACTCCAATCAACCAGGTCTGGATCTGTGGGTGCTGGAGGCAGGCTGTTCTGGGCACTTGCCTCTGAGCGAAGCTATCTATAAAGCAGGTGGTACAAGAGTTGAACTACCCTCTTCTTGGCTTGGTATTTGTGGGGCACCCTGGGTGTTGTCCTAACCCTTCTGGGGATAAAACAGGCCCCTCTCCCTCAAGCCTTTGCCCAGAGGGTCTGAACCTGATGGGCCATTTTTGCCAAGGCCTCTCCATGTTCAGTGGGATTCTGAGTCATCTGTCCTGTTACTAGAGCCCTGACCCTATCCAGCCTAGAGGTCACAGCCGGTGTCAGAACTGACTAGAGGCTTCAGTGCAAGGGAAGCTTCAGGCCAGACTGGAGCTCTCCCTGTCTGCAGCTCACTTTCCCAAGACCAGGTGGGCAGCGGGGCACTGTGCCCTACCGAGCTTCTGAGAGAAGCTAGCTGAGTGCTGCGTCAGCAGTCTTCTCCTTGCAATAGGCATTGCTGAGTTGGGGTAGAGGTGGGAGGGTGAGACATGAGAGAGCCAATAGGGCAAGGTAGTTATTGATGCCCAGCCAACTATTAAACTAATTAAAACAATTTAAACTGTTAAGAAAATTTTTGTGGTTTTATTGTATCATGAGGCATTGAAACATCTGAACAAATCAGTATCTGGGCGGTGAGGCAGCTGCTTTCTCCTTCACTTCTTTGGGTTACTAGAGCAACTTGTCAGTAGATTAAAAAAAAAAAAAAAAAAGACAACCTTTTGCATTACTTAAGTCTTTCCAAGGCATGCGCTGGTACAACACAAACTTCTCCTGTCAGATGTAACTAGTCTAGTGTCCAAACATCATGCACAATACCTAGGTAGCAGCAGCGCACCGCGCCCACTCCCACCATGGCCCTGCTCATTTGTGTATGATATTTGGATCATCTGGAGGAGTGTGAATAGTATTGGGAAGAGGAGGGAGGAGGAAACAGCATGAGTGCCTGGCTGGGAGGTGGTCAGCCGAAGTTGTGCAGGGCAAGCCTGAACATGTCATTGGTGCAAACCCAAGCATCGTTGATGTTCTTTAATAGGAACATCTGGTGGAACCCCATGATGGGGTCTTCGTCAGCCTGTAAGGAGAGAAAAATGATTCAGTAAGGGGGCCAGGGAACAGGAAGGGACTTCAGCGGTAGGGTAACAGGGCAAAGAACGCTGACTTTGGGATCAGGCTCTACTGTCTTGGACTTAAATGCCAGTAGAGACAAAGGATTCTTGTGAATGTCAATTGATTTAATGTACGAAACACTACACAGGGGCCTAGAGCAGCTCACACTGCTATATGCACTTAAACTGCAAAACAATCCACCAGTTAGCTATAGCAAAAGAGCAGAGAACGTACTTGTGTCTAAGCCCATGCCTCTGCACACAAGTGACCAACCTGAAAGACTTCTGCGTGCTCACCTTATAACTTACAGTACCTAAAAACTAAATACTCTTTTAATTCTTACCCAAAGATGTGGTTTTTTTTTAATTGGTTTGAGAGAGAAAGAGAAACATCAATGTGAAAAACACTAATTGGTTGCCTCCTCTACGCACCATGATGGGGCCTGGACCTGCAACCTAGGTTCCTCCACAGTGGCAACTTTCTCCTGACAAGGACTCAAACCCAGTCTTTTGGTATATGGGACAACACTTCAACTAACTGAACCACCTGACCAGGGCAAAAACTAAACACTTAGTTTGTGATCGCACCCGTTAATCCAATCAAAAGAAGCAACTGCTAAATAGACTGTGGCCAAAAATGTGAGAAACGGCTCAAAACCCAGTTCACACTGTGATCACAGCTCTATAGGGGAAATACACGAGCCCTGTCATCAGGTGATCTACTGAAAACAGAAAAGCAAGAGACCTGCAGCCAAACTGCAGACTAGGATGGTGTAGGAGCCCAGTTAATCAGTGCTGTCTCTAACATCACTGGTTTTTCTGGGAATTATTATCAGCAAGGCGGCAAATCAGTCTTTTGAGGACTCAGAGTTGGTACAAAAACAGAAGAAGTCATGTGGGAAAGGGCGCTGCTTACCGGGCCCAGCCTGGCAAAGTGGGCACTGGGCCCCGTGGAGAGACCTCCTCATTCCCAAGGGCCTACTTGGGTATAGACTCCGAGCAAGGCATCTGGGACAGGCAGGAGAAACTGAGAGCAAAGTGCAGGCCCGAAGTCAGGTCCCCCTGAGGCCACTGCAGAGCCTTGAGGGCTCCCCCAACCCTTGCATTAGACTAAGGAAGCCCTGCCTCGCCCAGGGAGAAGGCCTGCTCTTTTGAGCCCTACCAGGACACATTTCAGGAGCCTGGGACCTTGTCAAGGAGCAGCCAATTGTTCTGCTTTGGGGAGGAGAGGCCTTTGGAAACCAAAAATTTGGCTTCAGTCTCCTCAAGCACAACAGGTAGGAGTTCCTGGGAGAATTCTTGGGGTAGTGGGGGGTGGAGAGGGGTGTTAAAGGGTCACAGGAAGGCTTTGAAGATGATGGGTCTTGAGAAGGGGAAAAGAAAGAAAACGGGAAGAGAAGCAGGAGTTCTGTAAATCTGCTTTGCTCAGAAGCCAGCTCAGGAAGCGGCAGCATGGGCTCCAGGCAGGGGCTGCTGCTCAGCACCCGGCTGGCACGTCCAGGGTCAATGCCTACAGAAGGCTCACCTACACCGTGGGGTAAGTATCACAGCCCAGTCACTTGGCACAACAGCCTCATCTTGCTCCTATACCTTTTGTCCCTTTTACATAAAAGCTCTAAGCCAGCGCTCTCTGCTCAAACTTTCCACAGTAACAGAAATGTTCTAAGTCTGTGCTGTTCAATAGGCAGCCATAAGTGAATGAGCACTTGAAATATAGCTAGTTTAACTGAGGAACTACATTTTATTTCATTTTAATTAATGTAATTTAAAAATTACCACCTGTATCTGGTTACTATTATATTGAACTACACAGTTCTAGATGGTCACTTTGTCTGGGTGTCCCTTGAAAAGCAGGTCACATCACAGGGATGGCAGGGGCACAGGGCTGTCCTCTGCCTGCCTGCTTCGCCCTAGCAGCACTATTACCTTAAGCTGGCCCACAACCATGCTGATGATGCAGCTATCTGGCGTGGGCTGATGGTCCTGTGCCGTGATGCTGTGCTGGATTTTCTGGAACGGAAGGCTCTGCAAAAGAAAGAGCGGGTGGTGGGCTGCAGCCAGCAGGGAGGGAGATTCCTGAAGCCCCGCCCTGGCCATTACTTACAGACAACTTCTCCACAATGGCAGCTTTCCCCTGGAATTGCTGTCCTTCCCACGTAAGGCATGACGCATCAATCTGAAAACCAGGAAATTTGGGGTCAGGGCCTCAGAGCACCAAAAGTATCTCTGAGGCCCTGAAAAGACCCCTAAAAAGAATCTTTCTTGGGGAAATGAGTCCATACCTCAATTTCCCTGTCTGTAAAGAAGGGAACTGAGAATAGCTTCCAAACTTTACACTATTAACAATTTTTTTTAAAAGATTTTATTTATTAGGCAGAGGAGAAGGGAGGGAGAGAAGAGAATCATCAATGTGTGGTTGCCTCTCATGCACCCCCTACTGGTAGGGACCTGGCCCACAACCCAGGCATGAGCCCTGACTGGGAATTGAACTGGAGACCCTTTCGTTCGCACCAGCCAGGGCAACAATTTCTTAATTATACCTCATCATCCCAGAGCTCAGGCTCTGAAAAACTAACATAATACAAATTTATTAAATAAGTCCATTTCTCAGTTTTTATTCAAGCCCCGTCTGGTATGGATCAGTGGATTAAGTGCTGGCCTGTGAACAAAACCAAAAGGTGAGCCAGTTGGATCCCCTGTCAGGGCACATGCCTGGGCTGTGGGCCAGGTCCCTAGCTGGGGGCCTCAGAGAGGCAAATGA